ATGGAAACTGAAGTGGAAGCGTGTGGCAGTCAGAGCTTTGTGATCATGGTTTCATCCTAAATGAGATCCTAAATGCTCTTCACGGCAGAAACACTCAGATGGAGCTCAGAAATGTTTTTGACTTTAAGAAAGCTGACTTTGGGAAAATGTGATATGCCCCAAGGAATTTTTTTACTGGAATCCTGTGAAACATGGGAAACATGGAGCTGAATTTTTTAAAAACATCTAAGAGACTGAAATTTAAAGCTGTTCTGCTTAATTCCGAAGAGAAAAAAAGGGCAACTGGGGCCAACTGTAGTTAAGTAAAGATATAAAGTTTAGCACAAGCAATACAGAGAGAACCTGGCAAATTTCTCTTTACGGGAACTTCTGTAGATATTTGGATACGACAAGCCATCCTTTGAGAAGTAAGCAACCTGGTATGGAGGGATATGGAACTTAAAGTTAGAGCAGTTTGAACGATACAATCCCAAGAGGACAAAGCATCCTTGGACATTTTGCTGCTAAGAATTTTTCTGCTGAGCATTGCATGGAGTTTCATTTATATCAGTGCTAAGAAGGACTGGGAGAAAAATGCTTAATTGCTTAGGGCATATAACAAAAGGAAGAAGTTAGCATACTCGTTTTTCTTTGAAGAATAATAATAAGAGGCCATATGAATGCTTAAACATTTGCATCACATTGTGACAGAGCTTCTAGGACTTGCATAAAGGAAGGAAATTTGCATTGATGTATGTGCATCCTCAGAATTACAGCCATGTCAGTCCATAACAATCATGATGAATGAATATAAGCTACAGCCCTCACCCTAAGAAAGCTGTAGGACACCTACAGAAACAGGTGGGAAAGGAGGAGAAAGATTCCCTGTAACACCAGCAAAGAATTAGATACAGATTAAAAACCCAACACTTTCATATGATTGAAGGTTTCTTGGAACATTTTTTTCCCTTAAAAAAATTAAGGTAGAATTAATTAAATTCCTAACTGAGACATGTACATCTTAAATTCTCTGATAACAGGATGCACCATTGAGACATGGGGTTGATCTTCATTGTAGAAGTAAAGGGCAAAAAAATGAAACAGACACCAGTAAAAATTTTTAGCTCACTATCTGCTGTATCAAAATACTAGAAGCAATTTTACTAAAGCATGTCAACATACTTAAATTCATTAGAAGCGATGACTGGAATTCTTGGAGAGAAATACCTGCTTGACCATCACACTGGAATTCTTCAAGTATAATTTTCCTGTTGTTCATTTTGAGATCATTTCTTTGTTGTTTTTTTTCCCCCCAATACATGTAAGTAAGATGGAAGAAAGAACAGCAAGTTAACACTAATTATCTTGCTGAAAGATAAGAAAAACTAAAGACAGGCTCAGGTTCTCTAAAAATCACCTGACTTCAGGAACTGAGAGATGGGATGTTTCCAGCACCCTGTGCTGCAGAGTTGCTTGTTTCCAACTGAATTGGATGGCTCATAGAATTTCATAATTTCATTAAATTAAAAAAAAAAAAAAAGTTTTGCTTTTTATGCAAAGCAAGAAGGTCATTTGACTCCAAGTATAGACTCCAGTTGCCTACCTGCTATTTGAGTATTCTGATTGTAATAAAATCATAAAAGTTTGGTGAGGTGATTTTTGAAGGACCTAAATTTAACAGGCGAGTAAACTGTAGTGACATCTATACGTGTCAAAAGCAACAAATGAATGTAAGGTGCAGCCTTCTCAGCCACGTGCTAAATACACCTATGAAATACATGAAAAAATCTTTCACACTACATCAGCTTAGTATATAAAGCGAGCTGGTGATGAAGATCCTGTGAAAACTGCTGATTCTAAGAAAGGCAAAGTAAACATCTTTTCCCACGCCATGCAGCAGTTTATAGTCTCCAAATTCAGTTGGAAAAGAAAAGCCAAAAAGAATACTGTTAGGAATACGATTCAGGCTGAAAGAAATGACAGCAATAGGTTTGTAGTCAGAAAGAAAGAAGAAATGAAAGAGAGAGACAGGCATTAGAGGAATTAACAGGAAGAATTCCCAAGGCCAGTAAATATCAGGGGCTACAAAGCAGTCAAAAGCAGAGTGAAGAGATTTAGAGTCAAGCCATTCAAAGGGTCTACTTAGTTTGACCAGAAGACAGTCTCACATTTCAAGGTTTCCTCTTCGGTACAGCTAAGCTTTTCAATGGGAGGCCTTGACCCCAGGGATCGCTAACTAAGAAAACAAATATGTTTTCAAATGAATGTATTGGCACTGTCAGAACTGACTGATTACAAGATTAAATGATATTTATTTTCACTTTCCAGAATACTGCATTAAATTTTAGAGAGACAGACAGAAACGTTTCCAAATAAGACATGAGAATCTAAGCATCAGATTTTCTGCATCAGCTAGGATTCAACAGCAGAATTCCTGTTAACTGATCTGGCTAAGCCTCCCATGAAAATGTCAACCTGAGGCTTTCTTGACTTCTGTAGTCTTGCTGAGGATAGTGGGAAGGGACATGTGCTGTCAGTCCATTTTGGTTCTCTCATGGCATTTACTTTGTTTCTGGGAATGGATTAGATTTGGATCTGGCATTTTGGATTTGCGCTGCCGTGTCTCCCTGACTGAAATAGAGAGGTTTGCTTTCTTTTGATAAAGAACAGAAATAATTCTGTAATGTATATTAAAAAGGGAGAAGAAAGCGACTCTGGATAGCCATCCTGAGATTGTCTACATTTTCCTATGTAAAAACTTGGTTCCAATAAGTGGATGCCAGGCTAATTGCCAAGAACCATGGCACTCAAACCAACAGCTGCAAGTCCTGGAACAGCCCTGCTCCACTCTTCCATGTGGGCGAAACAGGCTCAAGAACTACTTAGCTCTGAATCTTACCACCTTTGAGAAACTTGCATACTTTAGGGTCTAGGCTGGACTTTCTTTTTATCAAGTAAATTAAATGAAAGTTATAAGCAGATTGACTATCTCCACTTCTTCCCATGGGAGAAATATTGCCAAAGAAATCTCTCCTCAGAAGCTACATGATTGACAACACTGTTCAAGAAATGTGGTCAGCATACAATCATAAGGAACTGTTCAGAAACCAGTCTGTTGTTGCCAGTCAAGAATAACCCTTATTTTTCAGTCTCTTTAGATGTTTTTTAAAGAATTCAGCTCCATGTTTCCCATGTTTCACAGGATTCCAGTAAAAAAGACATAATGAGGATTTCATAGTTGGTGTCCCTTCTCCTTCATGTCACACATCAGTCGTCTTGCCTAAACTACCTGAACACACATGCCTTGCAGTTTCTGACTACGTAGATAATACAGATTTAATTTATGTAAGAACTGAAATAAAACACTGTAAATCCGAACAGGTTAAGCTGGCTTGGAACTAAACCAAAGATACACCAACAAATAACAATGCTGTATCCTCCAACAAGCTCATGACAACATCTGATAGGTTCTGCTTTGTCTCTGTTCACATAGGAATTTGCCAACAGCTCATCTGCATATTCCTTAAGACAAAGATACTTCAAAAATCATTTTTGTGCTTCTTATCCTTTCTTGTGTTCATGTGTGGACCCATTAGCAATTGCACAAGCATTCCTGAAGAACCTCTGTTACGTACTGTCCCAAAATGGACAAGCATGAGCTTGCGAGCTGAATGTAAAATCCTGAAATTGTGTTCCAAAAACAGACCAATAAAGACAAATAGAAGACTGTAGGCAACTCTATTTCAGCGGAAGTCTGAGGATGTGAATAAGGTGGAACTACGGTGAGGGCTCCAGAACAGCTACCAGTGGATACTGAAGCAAAGGTACCTGTCAGTATGAAGAGCAGGAAAGTGGCTCTCACAAAGCACAGACTTGTTGGGTCAAGTGTCCTTTTCCTGTTTGGCAAGTCCTTTTGTCTTTGTGTCCTTATCGTCCTGATACCTTACCAAAGTGCAGAATGATGGACAGCTCTTAACAACATACCAGGGCTTAATTTTGGTACATGAACCAAGCCCTTTTTTGCACAGCACTGAAGTCTCTACTCCCATCTGAATTCCCTCTTCAGAACCCATGTCCACTTCAACGCATGCAGCTCCCCAATCCCTCCTTGCAACTTGTCTCAAGACAAACATGCTCGGCACACTTTGCTCTATCACAAAGCTGAAGCCAGCACTTTCAAACAGGCTGACTGACAGGCGATGCTGCATCAGCACCGGCAGGGCCAATGTCCCATTCCCAGAAGAGCAGAACATCCTCTCCTAGGCACACCCACATCACTCAATCAGGGCCACTGTGTCCAGAAACCAGGCTCCATCCTGTTCAAGTTTGCCACCATCCTGCTCAAGTTTGCAGAACACTTTTTTTTCTCTCCTAGGAGGCTCAGTGGGTAATTGGAGCACACCTATCAGACTTCACTGAGGCACTCCTGGGAGTGAAAATGTCTTCTGTGAATGAGGTTTTACTAAATAGGACCCCACAAAATACTCAAGAAAGCAAAATACAAAAGGATGCCTGCACTTCTGTGCTGAGCTCATTGCCAAGATTTAAGCTGAGCAGTGCATAAACACTGGATGGAACTGAGACATTGTCATGAAGACCGGAAGGAGGAATTTCAAAAATCAAACCAATTAGTGCCCTCCTTCTGCTTTCCCATCTGGTAGCCAGAGGAGAGCTGACCACATATGAATTCAGGACCAAAAGGAACAAGAAGTTGTTCTGCACTTTGTTTTGTTTCCCACGGGTGACATCACCCTGCTAAGCCTCCCCTCTGCCACTCAGAGAGGGTGACAGAAGCAGAGCAGCATGTCTGGCAGGGCAGCCAGACTGCTGCCTCTTGCAGTGCTGCTTGCTCCCAGATAGCTGGCGTTGAGGGGGCCAGCAAGCAGGCTAATTTAGAGCTCTAAAAGCTAGCAGTAGGAGTGCAATTAAGCCGTTTTCACAGACTGCTGGCCAAATGCAGCAATTTATTGGCTGAGTGATTGGATTATTCATTTGCAAAGCTAAGAGAGGCATTTTCTTACCACTTCAGTTGGTCTGTAGTACTTGTGATTGACTGTCACATGAATCTTGCCAGTCTCTTTGCATCGCCCAACTTCATTTTCATTCTTTCCTTCCCACCTGTAAAGAAGATAAACATTTAATCAACCCATAATTACTTTAGTGCTCTGATCTTACCAACATTTGGCCTGCTTTCATTTACTTGAGGCTGGTGTCAATTCTCCCTGCAGGACAGTATAAACTCATTAGCTACAGGAACAAAGGCAGAGTTTAGACTTGAATGTAGCAACAATGGCTTTTGAAGTCTCTTTGTTTTGGTTTTTGAATCAGTGGAAGGTCTAAAATACAGGACTTCCAAATTAAACACATAATGCGAAGGGAAAATAAAACTTCCCAATTTCAGAACGTTTCATGTATCTTCAAATAAATATGACAGTGAACCTTTTCATTTGTGGATTGGTTCAAAGTTGTTTAAAATGGTTCTTAAAATATTTTTAATTCTTGTATTTTGGCCAGCAGTTTCAGGAACACCTTAATCTGTTAATTTTATGGAAGAGGAGCTCTGTTTGAATAGCATTAAGCTGCATAATCTAATTTTTGTCTAACCAGGAAAAGCAAAACAAAAACAATTCTTGAATTTTCAGTCTTAGCTCAACATGGCGCTCCAAGTACATGTACCGTAAACAGTACTCAATACCTGTGAGATTACAGTCAGCTCCTTTGTCTAAATTATCTTCATATGTGTTGAACAGCCTGAAACTTGCTGTAATTTATGAGATCTGGTTGCATACTGGGCTATTTGGGTAGCAACTGTTCTGGGCAAAAATTCTGAGCAGCCAAAGAGGCACAGTTTGATGGGTGAGTGGCTCTGCCTTTGAAGGGGCAGACTGAAGCTAGGAAGTGTGAGGACAATGCTCCCTCCCAAAACAAATGTTTTGGACGAAACATTTAGGAACATACACTGATATCTCAAAACCAATTCACTGAATGTACAGAATGCAGAGTTATGACTGAAGCCCTATCCTCAGCTCATTTTCTTGCCTCTGAATATACCATGGGACTCTGAGCCAGCCCGGCACAAAAACAGTGATGAAATTCTTTACATTTTGTATTCAAGTAAAATATACATAATATGATTCAGCACTGTGATTTAGACTATTTAGCTTCAGTCACCATCAATGACAGACAATTGCCCCTTGCCTTTCTCTTATTAACTGTGCCACCAGTCCTTGGGATTTTGTCACAGATTTGATTTTCCTTTGTTCCCCTGCCCTCTCCTCCAGGCTCCCAGAAGAATTTAATTCTTTGACAATTTCAGCCTTCATTTTTGAGTTTCTAGCCCTAAGGGCCATGGAGGAGAGTTTGCAAATGTGACCTCTGTGTATCCATGAAGGTTAAAATACCAAAAGGCAGAAGGAAATACCAAATATGCATTATTACTAGTTTTTAAATCATTTTAGATCAAAAACCCATTTTTTTAAAGCAAAACTCATGCCTTCTGGTTGTCAAGCAAAGCCTGTAGGATGATTGCAAACACTTAATATCAAAATAATTTCCAATAGATAATACCAACGGTAAAGTTGGCTGTAGATAGTCTTGCCATGACACTAAAGATGATTTATAATTTAATTTTTATTTCTTTCTCTTTCACCATTGCTTTTTTGAAGCCTGCACTGTAAAGTTTCCATTCAGAAGCCAAAACTAACATTAGTCCCTCCCTTTAAAGGGCAGAGGGTAAAAATGTGCAGGACTCAAATGAGCTTAATAGAAAACCAACCGCCACCAGTAAAACAACAGGAAGTGCTTAGATCAGGAGACATCAGTTGCTGTTGGAGGTCACTGAGCAGAGAACTCCATTTAACACCCAACAGTCTCCAGAAGGCTCAACCGAGCCAGTAAAGACTCATTTACTGTCACTATCAAAGTTATATAACAATAGAAATAACTTCAGAAGAAAACTCCACCCTTTTTGTTCAGCCCAGCAATGTGAAAAGTTCACAGGGAAAAAAGTGCTTCTCATTGTGAACAAAGTAGAACTCGATAGCAACACTTTTAATTACTCCTGGCACCTCTATGCTCACAGCTGGGACACCATACTGCTGATAAAAGGGATAACGCTGAGCCAACCTGACACCAGGAGCAAGGCATCCAGTTAGTTGAGCAGCTCCCCCTCTCCTCTTCTAAGAAAAGGGGAAAAAAAACACCAACACATCCCTTAATTTGTAGCCAAGTTGCAGTCAGAATTATTGTCTGGGAAACGTAATGCCAGACTATTCTGAAGCACGAGTGAGGTCAAAGAGGCATGGGGAATCCTCACATTGTTGTGGTTTTAGATAGATCCAGCCACATGGACTACTGAGTTGTCTGCTCCAAGTGGGCAAGAAAACAGCCTTGTGTACTTTGGGAGAAATGCAATGGGGCCAGAATTAAAGGATGTTTGTCTCATCAGGGCTGTGCTAAATTCAAGGAGATTGGGGAGCAGATCCCAGCTGGTGGTGGAGCCCAGAGCTTTCAGGCAGCTGTAGGCTTTTGACAGAAGATTGGTCCTGGAGCCTGAAGGCAATGAGCCTCCACAGCGAGACCACTGCCAGCCCACTGCTGGAGGGCTGCACACCAATCAGCAGCCACATAAGTTTCCATAGAATTCAAGAACTTTTGCACTCTGGATTTCCATTAAATTTAAAGCTAATTTTGTATCAGCAAATCACTATTGCTATAATACTTTTCATCAGCTGTAATGAATGTTCCCTTCCCTCTTTGACTGTGAAGATGTCAATTATTTTCCATTTCTTATTACTATTTTGTAAGACATCAAGCTTCAAGCTATAAAAACATCCATGGGTACAGAGGATCTCCTGAGGATGAGGAGTTGAGATACTTGAATGGGGTGTGAGGAGAGAAAGGAGTCACCAGGGGAGTCCTGATAATCAGGGGGTGAAAGAATAGCACCACAAAGGACCAAGTGGTCCAAATGGCTGTAACTGAATAGCAAACAAGGCAAAGTGTGGATATTTTGGAGGTGGGCAAGAAATCAACCATAAGTGAAACTTTCCACAGAAGCATAGACACTCAACTCACATATGCTTTTTTTTTTTTTTCATCTCCTCGCTTAACCTTTATGGAGAGGTAAAGAACGAACAGAACTTCAGGAAATATTGCAAATCATTATCCCAAACAGTTTACGGGAAAAAAATCCTATCATATACTCCTTAAAAATCAGAAAGTGTATTACTAGAAAACATTTTCATATTTGAAATATTGCTTAAGATTTTTAGGAAGATTTTGCTTACTCTCCAAAGCTAATGTAGGTATCACTTGTGCAGACTTCAGAGATTTGTGACCTGACTGCCAGTACACATGATTAGCCAGAGCAGTTCATCTGTCTTGATGCTTTATAAACAGCAAAACTGGCATCATACAACAGACCATGGATGTCTTATCTTGCAAGTAATTTCTTGTAGGGAGATTTTAAGCATGACTCATAGTATGTTCCTTTGCTACCACCTCAAACTTAGATACAACAAAACATTTAAGGATTCAGCGATTGCTTAGCCACTCCCTTGTGCTTGGATCAAAAGAATAAGTATGGTACCACACAGGGAAGCACTCACACATTTGCTCAAGAGCTGTGATGAATCAGGCCTTCAAATTCTTCACTAAAGGAACACAACTAAAACAATACAATTGTTAGTATTAAACTTCCAGCGTTGCTAAGCTCAAGTTGCAAAAACCTAAATCGTGACTCCCCACATTCTGCCACTTTAATACAGAATATATGTTACGTGGCCCTTTTTTTTTTTTTTTTTTTCTGATTTCTTTTTTTTTTCAGTCTGCTGGAAATCTTTTCAAGCTGAAAAATGTGAAAGTTGGTGATAATGTTTCCTTTTAAGAAGGTTTTTGTTCACAGGAAAATGTTTTCTAAAAGAATACTAATGCTTCTGTGTAAATCAAAACATGCTGGGAAGAAAAGCTGACGTTTCAAATAAGTTATGCTATTGACAACTTGCAAGAAAAATGTATTAATAAAATTGAAGGATGAAGCTTTGACACCTTCAGAAGGAAAAGATTTTGTATTTTCTTTCAGAACGGCTTTTAAAATTCTTTTTACATTAGTCTTTCTTTAATAGAAAAGTACAAAAGGAACAAAACATTCCTGCTGATTTGAAATCAGGCATTTTTCTAAACTTCATTTGTGAGAATTATTTTCATCCCATTTGGAGAAAAGATACGGAATTTCTTACGGAATACCACACTTAATTCTCACCCTGTCTTCCCACAAGAGAAACTCTCACACCTCAGGGTGTAGGAAATCAGATAATTAAACTGTTACCATCTTCAAATCTGAGCATTGGAACAGTTAGTAGATGTGCCAACAGATAAAAGCTTGTATCAATAGGAAAGTAAATTAGTCAGCTCAGCTGGAAGAGTTAATCCTCTGGCTGCATTGGGTTAAATGCTACACAATGCCATATTTTCCACTGTGAGGACAGCAAGAAAAGTGGTTCTGTCATGTGAGGACCTTGTTTGTGGGTCCACTCAGGCCAGCATTCTTCACGGGCCTGGCTGGGCTCCTTTCCCCTATCGCTGCTCGAAATGTCTCTAATTTACTTTTGAGATTCTGCTCCCTTCTTCTCCATCTGAGCACTGTAAAATACAATGCACATCACCGGTCAGACAGCAGTGTTTGGTCGGAAAAAGGCAGACTGGAGGACAGCAGTTGCTTTGATGAAGGCTTTTGATGGCTCGTCTTCCACCATGACCAGCACACTGTCGGCTTTCCATTCTTTTTGCACTATTTCAAACCTCGTGTATTTCTGCCACCATATGTTCCATTTTAAGGTTGGAAAAAAAAAGAAAGAAAATCCCCTTCTCCCTCAGTTCATCTTTCGCTGCTGCTGCTAGTAGTTCACCTCATTAGACCTTACAGCTAATCTGCAAACTTCTCCTTTTTGGGGTGATCTTTTTTAAAGAAGACCAACTGGTAAGCCAAGAAAAAATTCGTGTTTAGAGCCAAGTGACTGGCATAAAATATTCATTTTTCATGAATTAATTTTGATCCTGGAAGCAACGAATACTTCTGTAACAAATGTGCACGTATTTTTATATTCATAAAAAACACAATAAATCTTTCCAGTGATCAAACTTTTTTTTCCCCCCACATTGCAGACAGCAGCCTTTGTAGCATTCTGCAAAGAACTACGAGCGCTCTAGTGGTTTCGGGCTATCTTTGCAATCCTGTTCTAATTTAATAAGATTAATGACAGAAAATTAGTCAAGACAAGCATTTGCCTGTTTCATTTACCCTGCTGTAGTTCAAATTATAGGTGGGAAGTGTTTCCCCCAAGTACTACTTAATTAGTAATAAGTAGCAGGGAAAGTAAAAGAAAAAAAGTGTAATCCTTACAGGGGGGAAATATTTGTAGCTCTGAGGCTTTCCTGTTAGTACAAAGGACTGGATTTGAATGATACTGAGGATTATATAAATATAATTTTAAATTTCTCCCTTGAAAAATGATGATAGAAGAAGAAAACATACAATGTAAGATAAACCTCAGTGTATACTTCAGAGTCAATTTCAGAGGGCAATCAGTCAGTCTTACTGCAGCTGTACATTTCATTACTCAAAAAATACGGTAAAGTTTCTCATCTCTCATTTTGGTGAAAAGATACGGTCCTGACATAAGCTAACGATTGATTATGACACAGTATTACGCTATCTTTTTGGAAAGACTTTTCAGGCTGCCCTGGATGTTCAGTTGTAGAAGCTAATGGGAATTGTTTGGAAGACAAAAAAACCTTAAAAGTATATATTTTTAGTTAGTTGATGTGGCAAGTAGGAATGGTTTTCTTCCTGTTCTCTACAGCAGTATTAAGATTTGACAACTAAGATGCAACACTTTCTGCTAAAGAACAAAGTAGAGAAGGTTAAGAGCCCCTTCACACATGCCCAGTGTTTTCAGGTTATGGGCTCTGCCAATTGCTGCTTACCCTTTCATTGCTTTTGGTTATTTGCTCCATCATTCTGTTGATTCTGAAAAGTGCATTTTGATGTTAAAGATATAGGAATATTGTGAAGCTGTGCCATCTCTTACAACAGTGAAAAAGGCTGATGGAAACAGCCTAGATAAGTTTTGGGGATTAAAACCAACCAAACAAACAAAAAACGCACACAAAAACAACCAACCACCCTGAAACAGCACAACCAAATTTTCCGGAAGGGCAATAAGAGGAACGGAGCCATGCCTGTATGTTCATTTAGAACTCTGGTGCACTGTTCTTAGGTGCCTCGTCATAAATTGCAAGGAAACAAATCAGTGGGATTCACCAATGGGGACCCACGACACTAAATGGAGGACTTTGCTGCCAGCTATTTCCTGAAGAAGATATAAGAAGATATATTCAAACTGGAGGAGGCGGGAGTAGAAAGCCCCTGGGGGTTTCAAGGAATGTGAGATTACCAGCTGTCCAGCCAAGAGGACAGCGAAGGTAAGGAGTGCATGCACGCCTTCTGTAAAAGCACGGACTGGGCTGATACCTACACAAAGGATGTGGGGTTTTTAATAAAACTTCCCAAGTGCTCAAAAATGGTTTAACATTTGGTGCAATTTGAAAGATGAATGATGGCTACAGGATGAGTAGCAGGTCAGCTGTGACACTATCCCACCCCAGGAGCACAGAGAATCAACAGCTGGCTTATTTGGCTAGGCTAAAACGACCAGATTTACATTGGTCTCAAAATAATCAGTAACAAAATTATTACTGGCACCTAAAATGTCCCCTCAGTCCCCATGTGTACAGATATTTACACACCACCCATGAATGACTTGAGAAGTTGATAATATATTACAGTAAGAAATACTTCAAAAGAACTGCGGTGATTAGCAGTCAAAGTTCCATTTTTAAAGTGATTAGACACTTAGGCTCCAAAAAATTGACGTCACTAGATGGCATGTGGATTCTCATGCAACTTGGAAAATTACTTTTATTAATTTAAAAAAATATATATGTGAATAAGCCCTTGTATACACAGAATACCTGCCCTACCTCATCAGCTGCAGTAATATTGCACAGTTTCCCCAAGAGTGAAACTTAGGACTGATTAATTCAGTCCAGACACTGAATCTACTAACCACCACTATGAATGATATGCAGCTCACCGCATGAAACTGTATGTGAGTAAAAAATCAGGAAAGAGTGTGTTAGGACCAGCTAAATCTAAAATAAGCCTTTAGGATCCTCTATAATAGAAGCTGTTCATAAATACTTTCACTTGTATTTGAGTAGTTAGTTTTTTTTAAAAAAATTTTTTATTTTGTTTTCTCATGGGTTTCCTTCCTGAAAGGCATATGCTGATTTGTCATCCTTGGTACATGCTGAGATTTCTCTGGCCAAATACAGAGCAGGGAACTTAATTTTAAACTAATAGTTAAATGTATTGGCATAAAAAGAAACTGTGGTGATGAAAATATCTGCAAAAAAGATATCCAGCTAGGCACTGATGGCCAGCTGTGCACTGATGGCACTGATAAGCTTCAGTTTCTTATTTTATGTAATAATAGCGATAACAACAATGAAGTGGTTACACAAATATTAATTCTTAAATAAATACTAAAAAATTAATTAAACATTGGACAGGCAATTCTTGATATCACAAGAATTCTTATTTAAATAGAGTAAGTGCATATATATTAATTTCAATGCTTGTTAGGGAGAATTAGCTTACAAATGCAAGAGGCAAAAATACAGAAGAAGGGGAAAAAGAAAGGGAAAGCATACTAGAATTCTGCTACCCTTTTGTCCTGTTAAACCTCACTACTACTGTTGAGGAATACGGGACAATGTGTGATCATAAAGGGACATCTCACAGTAAAGGGTTGTTAAAAATATCAAGAGAAACTTTTTCCCAAAATTGAGCTTTTGGGCTAGAAATTCTACTCATACAGTCCCTCTATCAAAGGTTTTTTTTTTTTTTTTTTTTTTTTTTTTCCTGGAAGTTGATGCCAAAAATTGAAAACAGACTAAAAAGTCATTGAGGAGAAAATGTTATTACCTCCCCAGCCACACACTGGCTGTTCAAATAATATTGTATCTATCTGTGCACTTCTGCATATTTATTGAATTTGTCAAGTTTTTGTTCCCAAGTAAAACTTATTGGCCCTGTCAAAAGTTCACCAGCTGCACAAGTGACTTTGATGGCCTGAGGAACAGCCCTGGCGCTAGCGTCATGGAAGAGCCTGTGGCTTTCCTCTCCCTTTTCCAGCTGAGATTGGTATGTTGATGCATGGGGCCCAGAGAAGATACAGAAGGAGGGAAATTGAAAAAATAATAAACAATAAAAATATAAATTACGGAAAGCGCTCACCAAGCCATCCTGATTTTATTATATGGCCTTGAGAAGGAATTTTGTCTTTTCAATCAAACTATGTGGAATATGCATTGTAAACATTCTGTACCCACTGCTCAACATTTTTATGGCTTGGTAAGGGCAGAGCTAATAGGAATGCAGAGTGAGCTGCTACATAACCCTTGTTGTATGGCTGCAGCGTGGAACGACTGGCATCAGCAGGTGACACCTGCAGAGAGTAAGAGCAGAACTGTGGAGATATCTGGGGTGTGGGGACACAAAATGAAGAACTGGGCAGAAACAAGAAGGGAAATGTATGAACAGAACATGAAGATTCAGAAATAAAAAGGAAGATTTACCCTCCTAAAGTTTTTTCTCATTATCAGCACTGGATATACCCACTGTGGCAGCCGTTTATGTCTTAGAAACTCTCATGTTACAGAAGTAGAATGTGAGAGGAAAAAAAGAAGCGTACAGAAACAATGCTCTGTAACTCATGTGATGCAAAAAAGCTCCAAAAGTTCAGCCTGTGGCTACTATCTCATGTTCATACTTACACAATGGTTTTTCCAATGTGCTTAAATGACTTCTCCACAAATTCACGGACGCTATGGACCTCCCCAGTGGCAATGACAAAGTCCTCTGGCTCATCCGTTTGCAGCATCAGCCACATGGCCTGCGGGAAAACAAACAGACAGATTCAGTGCAAATGTAAGTGGCCTCTTTGGTACATGATATTATATTGCTGCATTTTTGATTTGAAGATAACACACGCACGCACGCTCCCAGCTTGGGAAATTAGCACTTTCCTAATTTGGCGGCTATTAACCAGTTCAGTGCAACTTTGAAAAGAGTTCAATTATTTCTTATTACGGAAAACAATGCTATATTTGATTTTCAATTTGTTTCACAGCAGGGATTTTTTCAGGGGAGACTTTAATATGTTTACTTTTGAACTCTGAGGCTTGCTTTAGCGCTTAAGAGCATGGATTCATTTACTTAAAACACTGCAGGCATTGAGACAGATATGGCGGAAGAGAACAAAGTTTTATAATGTTTCCATCCAAAGCGCTGTTGTCTGTTTGTCATAGAATGATGCCAAACACTGAATCACGACAGGAGTCCTTCCGCTTCTTTTTTGTTCTGCCTTGCTTGTTTTGGCTAAATAGGGATTTTAATTACAAATAAGTAATTAGAAAAGTATCTAAGAATAGTCAACACCGTATTTTACCACATTAGCCTGTTTTTCCTGCTGAATATGTGTTGAATATAACATATTATGGGACTGCAACATTTTTTCTTCTGACAGAAGAATACGAACAATACAGATAGAACAATGAGACAACCGTTAACTCTTCTCCTTTGGAGAACCTTTTGGAGAGTGACAAAGATCACAATGGCTTTTGAAGCACAACTTCACGTGTTTACCAACACAGGATTTTTCAGGGGGATCTTTACTTCCCATGACTGTCTCTCTCCCACAGACACACAGATGAGCACCACTGTTTAGATGGCCAGCTAAATCAACATGAAAGCAGGCAAGCAGATGGAAAAAGTGGTACACAAGGACACATGTGGCTTGTCTGAAGTGTCACAACAGGTACATTTCGGTTTTCTGACACTGCTCTAACCATTAGATGACTGCCTAGGACCTGTAGGTGGACAGAATAATTATTACTTTAGATCAATCAAAATGATCTAAACATTTCATTTCCTTTAGAAAGGAAAAGGGAATACCTGTACGGCATGATCCTCATTTAATAAATAACCAGAAGAGGAAAACAAAATAATTCAACTTTCTTGCCATATGGTAAAAAGGACTGTCATCTTCTCACAGTGTAATCCACAACGCTATTTGCACTGACCTTTTCACATCAGCTTTAAAGAAAACAACTTTAGTAGGTCCCCTGATGGTAGTGGATACTCTGCAAATCAGATTAATAAAAGCTTTGGGACAGCTCAGTTTCTCTTTGTAAATACCACCTGAAATACTCAATTCTGCCCCCCACCCCTCAATAAATCAAGTATAGCAAGGCAACGCATTCCACTTCAATGGTTCTATTTGCAAGTCATTTTTCTTCCCAGTTATTATTTTATGCATCTCCCAGAGTTTTGACAAGATTTTATTAACATGTTCCTTTTGAACCTTTCTGCTTTTTGAATGTGCAGGGCAGGACGGGTTTTGAGCAACTGCTGTGTAAGTCCTTGACATTAATTGTGCTTCAGGGATATGACCTGCTGGGCAGGACAATGGCAGCAACTTTATTTTTCCTTTCCAGGGCTGAACATCCTAGCCAATGACGCAGAAATACCCGACTGGCTGATGAAACTCCTCTGGTGGGGAGGAGATGTCTTAACTCGTATCTCTCCTATTAGCTTTCTTGGAACATTGGGGTTTCCCTGCTGATCTGAGAGGTCGTGCTAAATCGCCAACGCCTTTGCCTTCATGACTGGACGAACTTGCGAGATTCACAGTGGTAACAACATTATAGGAAGGCAAAAGGAATATTTTAAATACGTAATTGGCAGTTCTGGTTCTGCTACCCTAGTCCCTGATTTCACAGACCGGTTTATATTAAGCAGCCCGGAAAACAACGAAGCTTCCTTGTATGCAAAGGCACTGTTTGGGTGAATAAGGATTTCCAGGACAAACAGTCAGAGTCAACATTTATAGTGGTTCTCCTCCTGACATTAGGGGATGTTTGCTGTGCATAATGAATTCAATATCTGCTCCTTTATTTTTGCTGAGAATGTACACAGCACAACTGACAGAGATGTAACAACCAAACCTCACTTATCGATAAGAAAAATTGCCCCCACCTGAAATACCACGTAGGACCTAATATACCAAACTGGCACAAAGACATCTTATTTAGAATGCACTTCCATAAAACAGTATTAGTATGTGTAAGGAAAAGGATGGGACTTTTGATAACATTTGTCTATACTTCTGCTTTTGAACACCTTAATATTGTAATTCATTGGACGCAGTTTTAGTACAGGTGCTTCTGCTGAGACATTCTACAATCCAGTGAGTACTTCAAATATTTGATGTTAATTTTGTCTAACAATACTAAATAGCATTGGAACCTTGCCTCTTTTTACTCAAACACGCGCAGCGCATTGAAGGAGACAGCTACAAAACAGAAACCGAAAAACAGCCTCTGACAATGGGTCCTGCCAGGTTTCATACATTCAGATGTATCAACTCTTTTCTCCAATTCACACAGCAAGCAATCACTGTCCTAGAAAAAAAACTTGCACTGCAGGGCCAGCTTAGCAACGATCAAATACAGATACAGTTGCTAAAAGCAATTTTTGCTTCTTTTCCTACCAGGAAAGAATGTTTAGATTAATGATTAATTGAGAATCTATCGCTGCTGGTTCTTTTTATTTTTTCTGGCACTCATAACTGTTGGCACTTAGAATTACCTCAGTCAAAATCAGGTATGAAAGAAATGAATGTGCTTAAAATCACAAAGCAAGTGATAGCTCTGTTTGCTTTGAGGAAGGCAACCAAACGCTGTTGATTTGAATGGGCCTGCATGAACACTTTGTAAAAAATGCAAAGACAAGTTAAAGGATCGAAATATTTTTGATCAAACTCTGCATTCAAATCTTATTTTCCACAGGTAGAGCCTGTGTAACCAATGAGAAACTCGTGTGCAAGCAGTAGCCGTACATTTTCCCTACAGTAAGTGCCAGGAATGTGCTTCCCCCCCATCAGACTAATAAAGGCCCTTGACCTATCAATTCCTAGGCATTTCCTCCAGGAGTTCATATTGTACCAGACTCCAGGCTGAGAATGAGAGGAAAGGGGGAGATACAGCTCCAGGTTTATTTGTCATTACTGAATGGCTTACTGGTTTTAACAGAGGGGAAAAGCTTTGTTTAAATTTCCACTGAAAGTAATTAATGGTTATTGACTGGTAAATGAAGAACAGGTGACACTCTGAATTAGAAGATAAATGATCTCATGTTCTAGCGTGATAATGGGTTAGTAATTGCTACAAAACCTCAGCCTAGCGCGTCCCATCATAATGCTAGATCATGTCCAGAACACAAAGGACTCTGTGTGAGAGGTATTCAGCCGTTCACCTCCTTATACAGCTGCGGAGTGATTTGGTCCATTTATTCTCTGATGGACTGCACGGCTGAGGCAAAAGTTCACCCATTCTCACCTTCCTGTTCACATGCTGAACCACATGACCCATGACATGGCTGAACTGGGATAAAAACACTGCCCAGCTTTGGCTCTTGGCTATCTTTTAACCACCACAAGGTAGGATATTTTAGGAATTTTTGTGGTGCAGAAATGGAAAATCATGGATTTTCCTGTATTCCTCTGTGAAGGCTTTTCTGGATGGGCTGATGGCAAGTCAAGAAGTGTTGCCACTCTGGCCTTAACTGTTAGCTTCACTCAGTTAACAAAATGCGGGCAAAGGCTGAAAAAAGGAGAAAATTATGATGGAAGCAATTCAGGCTTCGGATCTCTTAAAATGATACTGTTCCTTTAATGGCAAATGTAGCAAAACATATTTTTCATATTTGAACTCTTCTTGGCTCTGGTCTAGTGACTCACAAAGTCTAAAGGCAATGCTATGTCATTTACATTTAAAGACAGAAAGCCAACTGCAGAGATACGTAGCAAGTCTTGCAAGCGGACACACTTTTATGATTATGCGGACTAGCGTATCTATTCTGCATGCCTGAACTACAACTTCTGCCAAAACCTTTCCTCTTTCATCTTTTCTTCTTTCCTTTTCTGTATATAAGCCCTTGCCAGCGCTAAGCACTGTTTTCAAGTAACATATTCAAAATATAAACCAGTCTTTTTCCCGCCCAAATTTCTTAGTTCACACAGCATTTGCACTTGGGCTAGCAAAGGGAGAAACCCAGTCCGGACTAAGCAACCCTCCTATAGATACATGCTGTGCATGCCACTGCCATTATGGTTGAGATGGGTCTGCTTGTCTTGAGCATCTGGAGTATGTTGAAGCTGTGTTTCAACATTAACTTCCAGTCCTGCATTGCAGTGAGAAAACATTTATTAACTGGGCTGTCATCCATGGATAACAAAGAATTGTTAGTTGAGGTTGTGTTTAACTCTATTTATTTGATACTTTTCTTTCACTGTCTGCTGTAGTACTGCGTATTGTTAAAAAGGGATCAGGGATCAGTAATCAGATATCTGTCTATTTAAGAGAAAAAAGAAATACAAATCCAACACTGAGGCTTTAAAGTATAACTGATGATTTCTGCTCTCAAAATAAAAATTGATTTTTCAAGAGAGGGAGTGAAGCTGAGAAGACCCAAAGCAGATATGACTGAATGTGATACACATTCAGAGACACACAATGTGATCAGTGGAAAATATTCCTGTTGGTACAATTACTATTGCCTTGTGCTGCTACCCAGCATTTTTTCCAAGTCGTATAATGTCAAAAAAATACTTCACACATACTTCTAAGTATTATGCAGAAAACTTCTGACTTCCTTGTATTTCTCACACACATACAAAAACTCAAACCAAATCAGTAACGTTTACTTTAGGAGATGGGATAGATAGTTGCAGCCTGATGCAGGGTGCATTGTCCGTGTGCAGCAGAGACAAAACAGCAGTGACTGGTGAACGTCTAGCTCTACTTACTTATCACTTGCATAGGGCATGGGTTA